GGTCCGCAGGCCTGATGCTCTAACGGCTGAAACAAACCCTCCAGGGCGAAAGCCCTTTTAAAAGTTATTTCTTGAGCAAGCCAGTTGGCAGATGCAAGTGTGGGGTGTCTAAATCCATGATTCAGAGATGATGCAGATGAAGTTGATGGACAAGGTCCAGGTGTATCCACAGCTTTGGGTGGAAGGGGACGAAAGGAAAAGTCACCCGAGAAGGAGTAAGAACCAGGGTGGGTCCAGAACAGTTAGCATAGCAGGCCTGACTGCTATCATTTATAAGGTCAGCTAATACGTGCGGCCCTTGGCTGACATCTGGAAACCTGGATTTCAGGTTTTCCACCATTCCCAGAACTGATAAGTGACTCACTACGCCTAAACTGTACATCCTCCTGTGTTATTCCTTTCAAAGTCCCCTCTGAAAGCTTGAGCCTGGTTTCCCCCAGACTTTGCCCATTCATCTTTTCCATTTGCTAATTTTGCTTTGTACATTTTTGCTGTAAGAAGTCATGAGCCCTGGCCGGTTTGGCTCAGCGGTTAGAGCATGGCCAGTGGACCAATGAGTCAGGTGAGGATTAAAAAAAAAAAAAAGAAAGAAATCACGAGTATGGTTACCTTGGGGACTCCCAACACAGATGGGTAAACCACACAGAAGCTGAAGTCATTTGGAAGAATAGAAGCACAGTATAAGAGAAAGGCATAAGCCCTGGCCAGTTTGGCTCAGCAATTGGAGCGTTGGCCTTTGGACCAGAGAGTCCTGGGTTCAGTTCCTGCCAGGGGCATATACCAAAAAAAAAAAAGGACAAAGGCATGTATCAGGTTTTTCAAGATGATGAGCAGTAATCAAGTCATTAGATGATCAAATCAGGAGAGTGGGAGGATCACATGAGCCTCAACAGAGTAGTAGCGGTTTTACCAGGAGAGGGAAGGGAACAAGGACATCAAGCCCACATCCTGAACACAGGTTTGTAGGGCAAGAAATACTCCAGTGCCACCACTGGGGAAGGCGGTGGTGGGAACAGTGTCCTTAGGGGTCAAAGGTTAGGCACATAGAGGACTGACCCTGAATGTGCTCTAATATACACATCTGCCTACATCTGCACTGACAGTACATCAGGGTTTCTCGTCCTCTATGGCAACAGATCACTTGCTGAGCACACTTGTGTGGAATGGTACTACAGCTGGCCGCTACCATCTTCAACCATATTCTAAGTCCTTAAGAAGTGCAAACCAACGTTCCTCTCACCCACTCTAGCTTTGGCTTCTCTTGCGGAGGAAAAGACATTGCCAGCATTATTTTAACAGCCCAAAGATAGAAACTACCCAAATGTGGCACCATCAGAACGGATAAATGGTGGTCTATTAACATAACGGAATATTATACTGCAATGAAAATGAACACGCCACAGCCAAATGCAGTATCATAGACTCCCACAAACACAATGTTGAGCAAAGAAGCTAAGCACAAAAAAAGTATATACTATATAATTCCATTTATATATAGAATACACAAACTCAATCTATGCTGTTAGCCAGGAGAGTAGTTATCCCCTGAAGAGGCAGGGGCTACTGGAAGGGGGTTGTGAGTGTGTGTGTGAAGGGGCTTAAGTGGTACTGTTAGTATTCTGATTCCTAATCTGGGTGCTTGCTACATAGATAATCATGATATGTATACTGTTCCATGTTCATATACTTCAAAACAGAAGCGATACTCAGTATATGTGAAAAAAGCAAGTACATATTTCACAACATTTACCATGAATTCAACATTTTTGTTGAAAAGCACACATCTGTACAGAACAATGCCAGGCAGAAGATTCTCAGTGTTAACAGTGGTTAGCACTGGGTAGTGGAATTGTAGATGATTTTTTCTTTCTTTTCTTATATCTATTTTTAAAAATCATCTTCAATACTTCCCATATTCTTTTTACAATGTGTTAGTGTTAACAAAAACAAAACACCACCATACTTAATTGCATTTTATAAGCAGCAACATGTAAGACTTTACACCCATTTTGGGGCAAATAAATGCTATTAAACACTGGGGAATGGAGCAAGGGATAACTATCACCCAACCAACCCATTAAAAAATTTACATACCCTGGCTGGTTTGGCTCAGTGGTTATAGAGCGTTGGCCCAGAGACCAAAGGTTTGCAGGTTCAATTCCGGTCAAGGGCACGTACCTCAGTTGCGGTTCAATCCCGGCCCTGGTTGGGGTCGTGTGGGAGGCAACCAATTGATGTGTCACCCTCATATCAATGTTTCTCTCTCTTCCTCCCTCCCTCCTTCCCACTCTATCTGAAAATCAATGGAAACATATCCTCGAGTGAGGATTAAAAAAAAAAATTTACAGAACTACTTCAGCACAAGCAAAATCCTGAATTGCAATGTGGAGATTTGCATTCTCATCAACAATCCTGTGTGAGGCTAACACCCAAGGATTACCAGGATTATAGAAGCACACAGACATCTAGTAAACATATTCCTGTTCTCTGTACTGGAATCACTGTAAATCATTTACAATCTCGTCTGGGCCCAGGCTTCTTATACCCCCTCAAGATTGGCATTCATTGCTCTATTCCCCTTCCACTCCCAGACTGCTCAAATCTACAGGCAAAGGCAAGACTTTCTGGGCCATGAACTCCTTGCTGGCTGCTCTCCGTTGTTGCTGTGCACTTAAAGTATGAGTCACTCTAAGAAAGCCTCATTATTGAACTGAAAAATACTTTGGTCTCACAGAGCTGCTTTGTTTCTTTATAAACCACAGCATTGGACACCAGTGCATTTTAAAGCATTTCCTTAAAACCAACATTCATTATTATTATTTTTTTATCCTCACCCGAGGACATTCTTCCATTTATTGTTCAGCTAGAGTGGGGTGGGGGGAGAGGAAGAGAGAGAGAAACATCAATGTGAAAGGGACACATCGAGTGGCTGCCACCCACACGACCAACTAGGGCCAGGGACAAACTGCAACCGAGGCACACGCCCTTAGCGGGAACCGAACCCGGGTCTCTCTGGACCACAGGCCGACGCTCTAACCACTGAGACAAACTGGCCAGGGCAACATTCATTATTATGAACCAGAATCAGATTCAGGACTATTTTGATATATATATATATAATTTTTTTTTTTTTTAATCCTCACCGGAGGACACCTTTCCATATTTTGTTCAGGTAGAGTGGGAGGGAGAAAGAGAGAGAAACATCGATGTGAAAGGGACACATTGAGTGGCTGCCACCCTCACGACCCAACCAGGGCCAGGGACAAACTGCAACCGAGGTACATGCCCCTAGCTGGAACTGAACCCGGGACTCTGTGGACCACAGGCCGACGCTCTAACCGCTGAGCCAAACCAGCCAGGGCTATTTTGATATATTTATAAGCTAAAGCTGAGAACATTTTATCAGTCAGCCAAGTTCATAAAATATGAAGACAGCTGGAATTTAAAGAACACCCAACCACTGGCTCACAGCTCTACACCATCAGTGAGAACAGAAAACACGTAAGATCCAGTGTCACCACATGCTCTTGTAGCTAGATTTATAAATGTCCCCAAACCAGAAGCATGCTTTTACTAACACTGGCTCTGAAAAACAGGATGTGAACCTTTGCATCACTCTTACCCAGAAGGCTGGGATTACCCCAAAAGCAACAACTGGGACCTACATCTCTAGCTTCCTAGTGCACACACTGGTGGGATGATTGGCTGCCACTGGCCTCTGCTGCTGAAAGCTATACTCTCCCTTACTTCCCTCACTTGACCAACTCCTACTCAGGGGATATCTCTTTCAAGTTGTCCCTGTGTCTCCATTTTGCAAGAAGCTAAGACAACCTGCTCTGAGCAAATCCCCATTTAGCATCCTCAGATTCCGGGATTAATGGTGCTACTTTATTTCCCTAAATTTGAGTCCAATTGTAATAATACTTGCCATGTTTTAAAAACACAGTCAAAACAGGTAAACTAAGCAAACTGGAGACATCTGAGCTCCTTTTAGAGCTCACTCATCTTGATTATATGACACTGTCCCACTGTCAGTTTAAACCAGTTTATAGTCTCTAATCTAATAGGGCAACACTGAATCCAAACATGAGTAGATCTGAGCTATTAACACAGGAGCTTACAGAAGCTTCTCTTTCAGGTAGATAATCTAGAAGCAAGGACAACAGCCATGTAAATTTGAGATACAGATACAACACACATGCATTTCCTGTATGCTAAGACAAAAAACTAAATCTTAGTACTCAAAGCAGCCAAACCTTGGAGGGAATGTAAGTCTTAATTTCTGTTTCCCCCTTATTCTGTCCTGCAGAAATGTCCTCACCCACTGCCCAGACTTAGTCCTTTCCGTCTCTTCATGCCCCAGTCACAACCTGGATATACAGGGTTTCAAATGGGGAAATGAAAAAAAAAAAAAATCCTAGACTTTCACCCTTAAACGAGGGGCTAGATTAGATAAGCTGGCTGTGATGTTCCAAAATTGTCTTTCTAAACCTGGCTGATTAAAATGACCACCTGTGGGTCCGGCTGGTGTGGCTCAGTGGTTGAGTGTCGACCCATGCACCAAGAGGTCACGGGTTCGATTCCTGGTTAGAGCACATACCCAGGTTGTGGGCCAAATCCCCAGTGGGGGACATGCAGGAGGCAGCCAATTAATGTTCTCACTCATTGATGTTTCTCTCTCACTTCCTCTCTCCTTAAAATCAATAAAATAAATAAATAAATAAATAAAAAATTACCACCTGTGGGACTTAGACTGATTCCCAGGCTCCACTATAACATTTTCAGAATGAGACTCTCTAGGTGTGCAGCATGGAGATTTGTACCTTTTTTTTTTAAATCCTCACCCGAGGACATTTTTCGGTATTTTGTTCAGATAGAGTGGGAGGGAGAGAGAGAGAAACATCGATGTGAAAGGAACACATCGAGTGGTCGTCACCCGCACGACCCAACCAGGGCCGGGGACAAACCGCAACCCACGCATGTGCCCTTAGCGGGAACCGAACCCGGGTCTCTCCAGACCACAGGCTGATGCTCTAACCGCTGAGCCAAACCGGCCAGGGCAAGATTTTTACCTTTAAAATGCTTCTCAGGTGATTCTGAGATTTGCGAATCACTGAGAAAGAACTGGATGGAATGATAATGGGTTTCCAAAATGTAGTAGACACTGCTACTGGAAGTAAGGTCCCTTTATACTTGTCCTTTCATGTCCCATGTAAAGTAAGTTTGGGCGAGGGGGAAGAATTAATTCCCCCTCATTGTCTTCCCATGCGGAGGGAGTTCAGCTAGTATTTCTCAAAGTGGAAGGGCCACTGCTGCACTCTGGGCTGGATAATTATGTGGCACTGTCCAGCATAGTGCAAGACATTTACCATCCCTGACACTTACTCTTAAATGCCAATGGTGGTTCCTAGTCATTGGAACAGTCAAAAACACCCCCACTCCACCACTTTCTTAAATGCTTCCAGGATGTCAGTTCAGCCACTGATTAAGAGCCACTGAGCTGGATTAACATTCTTGACCTCCCTCCCTCCGGCTTACATTAAGTTCTGCCTTTGGAGGGAGACATGGTCTATCCAGTAAGTGAATTTAGGAGGAGCCAGCCCTTCCCTCTCCTGTTTTGCCCCTGCCTGTTCAGAGGTCGCATTCTAGGGAGTAAAAGCATGACCATAATTTTGTTCTGACATTTTAAAGATGTTTTACCTTCCTATTATAAGAGAGTATTACTGTTTAAAGAGAAATAACTTAGACGAACATTTTTTATTGAAGAGTTTTATTCTGTCTCAGAATAAAAACCTTGCTTTAATATTGAAAGGTGCACTGCAGGTATGTCATGCTGCCAGTTATTATTGGGGCACCACATGCCCTAGTAGTGATCCAGAGGGCTTGGAAAATGCATGAATTCATTCTTTTAGAGCATGTAGAACTGTATTTACAGTTTTTCTTGAAATAGGCCCAGGACATTCAAACAGTCTAAAAGTACTGCCATGGCACTTGCTTTGATGTTCAGAATGCCTCAGAAATGTGTTCGATATCATGATTTACGGGTCCTCCAAATGGTTTTGTTAACATGCAAAGCAAACAGTATTAAACAATATTATCTAAATTATGGCTACCAAGTACTGAAACTTAATAATGAAACCAAATTACAAAACATTTTGTTGTAGAGCTATACAAAAGATATAAAATTAAAAATATCAACCATCTTTAAATATTCTAATTCTCCTATGGTAAAGTTTTCCACATATTTATCACTACAGAATAGTTTAAGGAGAGAGTTAATAAAATCAAAAGAGATAAGAATATTTAAATCTTTGGATCCCTTTCTTCCATGGCCTTCATAAAAACACAAAAGTGGCCAGATTTTCTTTCCCACTATAGCTTAAAATATTAAAAAGATTTACTAGTAATTTATAGTTGGCCATGAACTCTCTAGAGTCATTTATGAACCACAGGCCCAAGGACCAGTGTTATGATGATATCTGATAGGTTGCCAAAATCATTTCTAACATTCTGAATCCTCTTGAAATATAATGGAATGAGTCAGTTTATCACGACAAAATTCCAGGCATTATCAGGAAGAACAGGTTAATTGATACCTAGTTTTATTGGCATAAAAAAGGGGGGGGGGTTACTTATTTGAAAATACAGCTAAGTACATTCTTATCTATGATTATTTACATTCATATACTGAAGATATCTATTATGTGGACAAATCCTGTGATATGCCATTTAATATAAAATGAAGTTCTTATGATGAGCATGAGTAATTTATCCTTTTTATATAATGAAAGAATGTATCAAATCTTCATTTGTGTTCTAAACATTAAAAAAGAAAATAAAAATAAAAAAACCTTAAGCCTGGAAAGCTATGAAAAAAAGACCCACCCATAGCTCTGCTCCTCAGCACAACTTCTGCAAGGACACAGTATGTTTGCTGACTTTAAAATGTTTATTCTTTAAAAAATTAGTTGCTTTTTATACAGCTATACAAAGTTCTTAATGTTTCTTTGGCAATGGAATATAATGGAATTTTACAACTATATAAAAAAGTTACCTTTGCCTAAGAAACAGTATTTACTGTGTGTACATAGTTGACTGACAAAATTCTCCAGCATCCAGCACCCTAATTAACTGACGAAATAAGCTTCCTCAAAAGGGACATTACAGGATTTCCAAAAAGAAAGAAAGGGCAAAAGACAGACACACAGACACAGACACAGACACACACACCTTTCTGTGGCTTGAAACACAGTATCACGGCCCCATCTGCAGGCAACTTGCAAGAATTGCCAAATACAATTTAGTGATAAGAAAATCCTTTCAGTGATGAAAAAATACTTATAAGTAACATTGAAGTACTACTTTAGTTTAACTATACATAAGAAATTACTTAAACTTCTGCTATTTCAAATATATTTAATGCTCATTTTTAAAGATGAGCTGCCCTCCACACCCCGCCCAATATAACTGCATCATATCTTTGAAATTAAGCAGAAAAACAAACAAACAAACAAAAAAAACCCAGTGCTGGTGACAAATATACAGCGAATTCACTTCTTCATTCTTGGTAAAGACTGAAACCAATTCTCAGGACCACGAAGAGCTAGAAATTCACCTATTTTCAAAGACTTGTTTGTAGACTATGCAGCAACTTTGTTGTCTTTCTAAAAAAGAAAAAAAAAAATAGCTCATTTCAAATTATTGGTTAATTAACAATTATTTCTTTCTCATTTGCTTAAGTATACTTTCCATTATCTTTAAATACACCCTTGTCCTTTTACTTTCATGTATAAATCTGTATCATTAATTTCCAGGAAACACTTTTTACAACTTCCACACCCAGCAGGAGCTCATTATTTATTAACTGCATTTTCTAGTTAGTGGTAGAATAGAAAGCAATAGTGTTGTGGACTGGTCCCAGCAAGAAGACCCCTGCCAAGATACAGGTGTACCCCACTATCATTGGTTGCCATCCTATAATCTTTAAAAACAATGATAGAACTTAAACCTTCAACGTACTAGTCAAATTCATCAAGTACAACCAATAACATACTTTGGAAAAAGATTAATAAAATCTAAGTCTTTGATGTCTTTACTAAGTAATAAAATATCCAGACAGTAAAATAACATCTCTCTCCAAAAGGTCATGCCAGGACAAAGCAATGATTTAGAAATTCATTTTAAAAGATGACTTTTAAATTGAAAGAAGTTTCTGAAAATCAGAGAGTTGACTGGAAAATTAAAAATGTAACTAAAGAAAAAGCAGTAAAAATCTCAAAGAGCCTCTAGTTTTCCAGTGTGACTGACTTTAAACTAAAGGCCTGTACACACACAGCATCAGAGCCAGGGGCTTCTATTTTCCTCAGGACTAGTTTCTACCATTTACTTGTTTTTAACTGCTGATTCTCACCATGACTGTTAGAAACACACATTTCCTATGTTAAAGACTTAACTTTATTTATGCATACAACACCAAACCATTTGTACAATGTTATTAAATTGGACTACATATGGCATGATGTAAGTTAGTGAAAAAAGAATTAAGCTGAACATAATCCTTTCACCCCCCACCAAACCCACCCTTTACATGCTCTGATCTTTTTTAACCTTTCAGAAAGCTATTTGATTAATCCAGACCTAGTTGGGTCCAAAAGCTATGGTTTTCTGAAAGAAACAACAACAACAACAAAAACAAACAAGAAAGAGGAGAGAGGAAAAGAGGGAGAGACAGAGAGGTAGAGGATGAAGAGGAGAAAAGGGAGAAAGAGAACCATACTGAGTCATAAGGGACACCCCATTGTCTCTGGACGTTCTCTGAAGAAACACACACTCAAATGGGAGGCAGTATGTCTCATATACCATGGTGGTTTCACTTCTTAGCAGCAGTACTTAAAGTGGAGCTGCTGGCTGTCCTCTTATTATCCCTGGCCTGATTTACTCCGCCCCCCAAAAAAGAAAGAAAAAGAAAGCAACACTGGACCAGACTCACCACAAGTCATGTTTCTAACATTATCCTTAAGAAAAATTGGGCTGGAAATCAAAGAGAGTTGTGGCTTTATATATTAGCTTATATCTAGACCAAGACAGTTAACCTCTCTGGGTCCTTGGTTTCCTAATTCTACATTTTGCGGTGAGGTGGGAGAGAGGTTCTACTTTGGTTGATAGTTCTAAACACCAGTAACCCCATCAAATCCATGCTTTTTTTTATTCCTCTCCCAAGGATATTTTTCTATGATTCACTAGATAGAGTGGGAGGGAGGGAGACAGAGAGAGAAACATAGATGTGATAGAGACACATCGACTGGTTGCCTCCTGCATGACCCGACCAGGGCTGGAGAGAAACCACAACCGAGGTACATGCCCTTGATTGGAATTGAACCCCAATGAGCCAAACCAGCCAGGGTTCAAACCCATGTTTTCATTGAACAATCAGATTTGTTTATGCTCAGCCTAAAGATGTAATGATTCATGCCAATAGAGCACAATCAACAAAGCCAACTATTACATGAAGGCTGCTGCAAATGCCACTGACATCCACCTCTGACAAGTATTATATATTTGAGAAATCAGTTTAATTCCTGCAGGTAAATCTCTCGTATGTAATAGTGATCACTTACTATTTCTACCTTTAAAGGTGCCAGATGATATGATCTAGTATGCATAAACTGCTGAGAAGGCCAAGGCTCTCATGGCAGACAGAAGGACCATTCATTCAACTTCGGAATGAACAATCAAGGGCTAGCCACACTGATGGATCTTGGGCACCAGAGGCTAAAATAGTATATTCCTAATTAACATATGCTAAGTACTTACTTCAAGTCCATTACGGCTCCATACTGAGCAAGGTGTTTTGGTGGAAAAGGAATACATATTCACTAATGAAAAGAGGCCTCCACTTAGCTGGTGACACAGAATAAAACACATAAAATAGACAACATTAATGTATTTAAAATGTATGCTGATGAAAGGAGATACTATAGGAGGCGAGAAAAGGAAGAAATCAGTGGAAGGAAGAGAAGTTTCCAAGGACAGAGGAAACTGTGGTCAAGACTGTGAAATGCAATGAAAGGGAGCCCCTGACTTTTGGCTGTGTCTGACTTCCCACTGGACTGTAAAGACCAAGAAGGCTGGGACCGAGTCTGTTTTGCTTACTACCAATGTCCAGCACAGTGCTTGGCATATATAAAGAATTCAGGGTATTTGGTCAATGAATGAGGTCAGAGTTAGAATAAAAAACAGTGTGTATAAGAGATGACCATGAGTTAACTTGCTTAAACCAGATAAGTTAAAGGGTAATGAGAAATAGAGCTGGATGTCAAGTGGGACCCTCACACAGTAAGAAGAGGGGGCAATGCAATGTCACATTAGAAACTTTTAACCAGCGGGGTAATGCCTTAGGGTCCAGTGAATCTGTCAATCCTTGAAACACCCAAGTAGATTTTGTCAGAAAATACACTAGTGCAGACAAAGATGCACGCAGACAACCACTACAATGCATTCTAATTCTCCAATAAACAGGGTGAGGCAAAAGTAGGTTTTGTTGTTCATATGGAAAATAATACAATAATTAATAAAAAAAGTACAAAAATAATGCAGTGTTTTGTGTACTCACCACTGTAAACTTACTCTTGTCCCACCTTGTGGATTAGAGGCTCAAAATTACCAAATAGTGAGACATGATTCAGAAAAATGTTTGCACTAATAAGTGCATGCATCATGTACACTGTGATTACTGCAAGTTCAGAAAAAGTGAAATAACAGTCCAGTCTTTCTTTTTTAAATTCATCAGCCAAGGACATTTTTCTACTTATTATCAGATAGAGTAGGAGGGAGGGGGGGAGAGAGACAGAGAGAAACATTGATGTGATAGAGCCACATCAACTGGTTGCCTCCTGCATGACCCGACCAGGGCTGGGGATGAACTGCAACCGAGGTACATGCCCTTGGCCGGAATCGAACCTGTGACTCATTGGTCTGCGGGCTGACAGTCCAGTCTTATACAAACAACATGATAGTTATTTTTTCAAATATCTAAAAAATGATTAAGAATATATATATTCTGTGCATGCATAAGGGCAGAGTTAAATGAATAGTTTAAAGATATAGGAAAAAGATTTTCACTCAAATTATATGTCTGTGAAATCCAAATAACTAGAGCATCCCTGGAGTGGGACGATGCTCTCAGGAAGAGTAATGTCAAAATTAAGTATCTGAAAGGCTTAATGACTCAATTAAGGTCATACTAGCAACAATTACTGAAATTCTCATTGGGACTAAAGTCTAATTTAAATGCACTTTTTCTCAAACCAAGCTGACTCAATGCAGTCTTCAGCAAGTTGTCCTAAGTTCTTCAACAGGTAGCTGATATATATCTGAAGTGAGGTAGAGAGAGACTGAAGGTCTGAAGACCAATCAGTGGGTTATTGTGGTAATTGGCAGGGACATGTCAAAGGAATGAATGAGGTGATGTGAAAATGGACCATGATTATGGATACCTCCACTGCCTGGGGAGATAAAAAGAATGGTGTATCACTAGCCAATCAAACACTGGGAAGAGGCAAAGTTGACATGATGGGAAGGCAAGAAGATGATCAGGTCATTCTGAGGAAGGTGAAGTTTAAGTTGATCACAGGCACAAAGCAGGTGAAGATAGAGTAATGCAGGTGGAACCATATGAGGTCCACGCTGAAAATCTGATTAGAAGCTATGCATCCACAAGCCTGAAAAGGGAATGGGAAAGGGAAAGGGGGGGGGGAGGGGGCGGAGGGAGAGAGTGTACTTGGGCACACTCGAGCACAAGCAAGAGCATGAATGCTTGCAAGAAGCAAACTGAATGTTCCAGGCAGAGGGACTGGATAAAAAGGTCATGAGACAGAAATGTCCCTAAACAAGAGCAAGAAGGCCCATATATCTGAGGCAGAGTGAATGAAGAGAAGTGGAGTCACATTGGCAAAAAGAACTAGAGACAGCACTGGACTTCTAACCTGGAGAAGCAGGAAGATCATGAAACACCTCATAGACTGTTGAGAAACGTGTTGTTTTATTTACAAAATATCAAATGTATGAAATACTAGAAACAAAGACATCAAGTTGGGTGGGTGGTGATCAATGTCAAATATTGCAGAGGAGTTAAGGGCAAATATTTGTGAAAAGGTACTGAATTCTATAACAAAAATGTCACTGGTAAGAGCAGTAAGTTCCTAAGATGTATGTAGTCTTCTGGAATGGCAATTTTGCAAGTTAGGAATGCTGTAGCTCCATTAGGCTACAATGGCTGAATAGACAGAGCTAATGATGAGGCTAATTTTCAGCAGTCTTGGCTGTGATGAGACAATATCAAAGGCATCAAAATTAACAAACCAGTCCTGCCTGGCTAGCTTACCTGGTTAGAGCATCATCCCCATATGCCAAGGTTGTGGTTTTGCTCTCCAGTCAGGGTACAAACAAGAATTAACCAACGAATGCATAAATAAGTGAAACAATAAATTGATGTTTCTCTCTCTCTAAAATCAATCAATCCATAAAAAACAAAAACAAAACAGACCAGACCCCAAAGCCACCAACACTGAACCTTTAAGAAGGATCTTAACAATGGTCAGTTTTAAATATTGGACAATGAAATTCCCACCAGCAGGTCTTTTTGTTTTCAGCTGCCCTTTGCTATTCTTAGTAGACCTCTTTACAAGGAGATTTTTTTTTAATCCTCCCCAGAGGACCATTTATCTTCAGATAGAGTGGGAGGGAGAAAGGGAGGAAGAGAGAGAGAGAAACATCAATGTGAAAGAGACACATCGTGTGGCTGCCACCCACACGACCCCAGCTGGGGCTGGGGACAAACTGTAACTGAGGTACTTGCCCTGAGTGAGAACCAAACCCGGGACTCTCTGATCCATGGGCTGATGCTCTAACCAGAGCAAAACTGGCCAGGGCATAAGATTTTGATCCTTTCTGTGAGTATTTACCTTCCTTTCCACTATCCCTAAAAATCAATAAACTAGGATAGTGACATTGAATTTACAGACTACTTTAAAGAAATAATTCATATAAACATACCATACAGAGCTATATAATTTTCTAGCAGCTGTTCCCAAATGTCAATGTATCAAGAGATTTTCAAGACTATAGCAACATAAGAAAACGAAGAAAAATGTAGTTGAGGCTTTCACAAAACTAAATTAAGAGCACTGACTCAGAACAAATTTACTAGGTTCAATACCCAGCACCATCACTTAGTAGTTGATCTTGGAAAATTTATTTAATATCTCTATACCTATTTCCTCATTTGTAAAATGGGGATTAAAAAGAGAACCTATGCCCTGGCTCAGCGGTTAGAGCGTCGGCCCGAGGACCAATGAGTTGCGAGTTCGATTCCAGTCAAGGACGTGTACTGTTCGTCCAAACCGTGGCCGTGGAGGGTACAGAGGCAGAGGAGGTCTTGGGCTACAGTTCGTCCCCGGCCCTCGTCAGGGTCGTGTGGGAGGTGATCAGTTGATGTGTTTCTCTCTCTCTCTCCCTCCCACTCTGTCTGAAAAGCAACGAAAAAAATATCCTTGGGTAAGAATTTAAAAAAAAGAGAACCCACACCTCAGAGTTGCTGTGAGGTTTAAATGGGTTAATATGTGAAAAACATTAGAACAATGCTTAGTACATGCAAAATATTATGAAAATGTTAGTTTATATTAAATGTATAGGAGGTTTGTCTTCCATTGTGAAGTATGCCCTTCCTAGACTCTTGTGGTGTTAAAGCATACTTTGTTATCTGAAATAAAGATGATATGCTATAATCCTTCTTTGGATAATGCCTTTGGTGATCTTCTGTGCCTCCAACAAAAAACAATTTTAAAAGAAGAAACAGAAAAGAGAAACAATCCTAAGTCAGTCTCTAATAGCTTTTTGGAGGAAATTTTACCAGTCCATAAAATCTAAAACCATAGTTCTATAATAAAAAAGACAAAAGAGACTTATTAGCCAAGAAATTACTGTTCCTTAAAATGATACAAATATCCTAATCAAGTGAAAATGGAAGTTATACAAATGACCTAAAATTTTTGAAGTAAAAACATTTTGAGTTTCATTAAAATGCATGTTATGTGACATGTACTTTTATTAAAAGCATACCATACTTACCCTATATTCAAAATCTGCAAACTCCCTGCCCCCACGACCACCTCTGAATCCACCACGAAATCCTCTAGGGGCGGTGAAGGCACCACCTCGGCCACCACCACGCCCTCGACCACCACGGAAACCAAGACCTCCTCTGCCTCTGTACCCTCCACGGCCACGGTTTGGACGAAGTGGGATTCCAAATGTTTCAGCATTTAATCTTCTTTCTTCAGCCCAGGTTGGTCTCCGTTCTCTATTATAAACACAAATAATCTTTAGTATCAGGTTTTAAAGAACATTTCCAAGCAAAACTATGTTAATTCCCAAATTAAGGGGAAGCAATTCCTAAAAATCAAGTCAGAATAAGCACCTTATCTAAGTCATCACAAGTTGTTCATGGCAATAGGATCCTGTAATAGTCTGTTAAATTTCACGTGAAAACATGACTGTTAGATTCTTGCAAATATAGTTGATTAAACAAAGAAACATGACAACAGCACCAACATATGGGAATTCAGATAAATTGGGATGGGCAATTAACTCCTCTCCACTCAGCTCCAGTGGAAGAAAAGGCAAAGCTAGGAAAGGAAACCCTGTCTCAGGATCTGGGAGCAGGAGGGTAGTCCCTGAATCCCCGGTATGATCCCAGCCCAATCCCTGGACCTGATACCTGAAGCAAGTGTCTGAATTGCTGCTGCTTATCCTAGAGCCCAATCATAGGGTTCAGAATCAACCCCATTGATGTTTAAACTGAAGTAAAAAACTGCCACCAGGTGGCACTAAACTGTAGCCAGAAGGACAATTAGGATTGGTCAGTGGAAACCCTGAACTCTTTAGCTTGTTATGCTAGTTCCTTTAATTAACCTCACAATTTTCTGGATCCACATTTACTGAAATGTGGCAGAGTTCTACTATTATCAGCAAACTTCAAAGTAACATTAGTACTTCTAGCCCTGGTTTTATTTTAACTACACTGTAGAGGGATAAAGTAAAAGGTCTTACTTAGATGTTAGATGAATGCTTCTGTTTGAATTACTAATTTAAATACAATTACTTTCTTTAAGCAGAAGAAAAGGTTAAAAAATTTCAGTCATTAGATTTTTTTCCCCTTATTGATTTTGGAGAGGGAGAGGGAAAGGGAGAGAGAAACACTGATGAGAGAGAACACCGCCTAACCGCCTAACCACCTCCCGCATGCTCTCCACTGGGGATCGGGCCCACAACCTGGGCATGTGCCCTGACCAAGAATTGAACCGGCGACCTCTTGGTGCATGGGTCGATGCTCAACCACTGAGCCACACTGGCTCGGCAGTCATTAATTTTTAAGTATTCATTAAACCTTGTGAATTTTTAAGAAATCATTTCATACTTCAACCTCCTAAGAGCTCAAGAGCAGCTTAAAAGGCTGTACCTATTATCATCACAAGAAATATTATCAAAGAAGGATTTAGTTTTGTCATAATAGCAATTAGGTCCTAGTGGATCTTCTTCATCTGCATTTCCTTCACTGTTTTGAGTATCAACTCCTGAGTCCCCTTTATCTTCACCATTTACAGGCTTCTCCTGTTTCTCAAGTTTATCTTCCACTGAAAAACAAGCACATAACACAGACGTCAAGGCTTGACTAATATTGATGGTTCACAAGTCAAATAAGAGTCTTTTCTGAGTAAAATAATAAAAATTCACCTTTCAATTTAAGTTTATTATGAAACTCTCTGTCAATTTCCTCCTTGTTAAATTGTGCATTTGCACTTTCAAAGTCAAAGTCTTTCTCAAATTTCATAGGACCATCTCGCCGAATACCAAATCTTCCCCTGCCACCTCGGTGACCCCCACGCCCTCTCCTTGGAGCTGAAGGAGCACCTGGAACTATGTTAAAAAGAAAAAATAAGCTGGTAAGACAGAAGCCATTACTGTGGTTTTTATATTAAATGGTCAACAACAGAAATGCTTTCAAGTCTGTATAAATTATTATCTTTGTACTTTTTATATAAATAAGAAATGAAGTTTCACTAACATTTAATATTTAGCACACATGAAATTTGTAACAGCACACATGAAATGTATATTTATGGGGTCCACACTCATATATGTAGCTGATAGAATATGGGAGACTTTGGTATTAAATTACTGTATATACTCCTAGAGGGCAGGGGCTATGTTTTGCTTATATCCCTAATACCTACAGAGTACCAAATACACAATGGGTTCTCAAATTTTAGGAGGCCTTTTATGGAAAGGATCACAGGGACCAAAATTTATAATTAAAAATAAACAAATAAATAAATAAATGAACACAGATCAGAACAAACTGAACACAGATCAGAGCAAGGTGGAGGTGTTATTTCCACATCACAAAAAACAAGAAAGACAAGAAGCACTGGGTCTCAACCATTCCAAACACTTCCTACTCCATCTTTGTTGTCTCTCAGTGGTTCCATATTATTCAAATCTTCCTGCACCTACTCTTTCTCTACAATATAATGATAACAGAATTTATAAGGTATGATAAAACAATGCCAAAACAGCATAAATTACAGTGAAAACTCAAGAACCCAAATATCTAATGCAAGAGAAATAGTTAAGCAAAAGTAACAACCAGGAATATGGAATAGTACCTGATGTGAGTTAACAAAACATACAGAGCATAAAGCAGTATGAATTCAATGATTAGAATTATGTGTAATCTTTAATACATACTGACAAAGATCAGAAGTGACTACAGAGAACAGACAGGTTTACGTTGGCTGAAGTTTGGCAAACTGTCCAAGTTTGAGAAAACAAACAACAAACCCCCGCCCCAGCAGCATATCCAGACACTTAATTCTAGTTAAGTGGAATATTTAAAACATTAAACTTTACTATTAAAAATGCTTTGGCCACAAGCCAGGACATACAGCATGATATTCCTGTCTTAAAAAAAAAATTGCCCTGGCTGAGTGGCTCAGTTATTGGAGCATCGTCCTATAAACCAAAAGGCTGCGGGTTCAATCCCCAGTTGGGGCACATATGGGAGGCAGCCAATTGATGTTTCTCTCACACTGATGTCTCTCTCTTCCTTTCTCAAATCAATATATCATTGGGAGACCTGGCCGGTTTGGCTCAGCGTTAGAGTGTCGGCCTGCAGTCCAGAGAGACCTGGGTTCGGTTCCCACTAAGGGCATGTACTTCGGTTGCAGTTTGTCCCCGGCCCTGGTTGGGTTGTGCGGGTGGCAGCTACTTGATGTGTCCCTTTCACATCAATGTTTCTCCCTCTCTCACCCTCCCGCTCTATCTGAATAAAAATTGGAAAAATGTCCTCGGGTGAGGATTAAAAAAATATATATATATCATTGGGCAATTTTAAGTATAGTTTATATGTATAAGATTATAAGGAAAAAATCTAAAAGAATACCCAACTCCCTGTTAATGAGCCTCTGGGTAATGAATTTTGAAGAGGACAGAAAAATACTTTTATTCAGTATTTTATGTAATTTTTGAATGATGGACGTATAATAATTATTTTATTTTGAGAGGGGCTCTCTCTTTTCCCAAATTAAAAAAGTGAAATATAGTAAATCAAATCAGAAACTGTATAACTATGGCACATAGCACATACAAAAACATGTATAAAAATGCAAATGAGGTGTCTATACATTAAAAATATGTCTAGCTTTTAAAAATTAGGTGAAAGATTACTTTCCAATTCTTATACAAGTAAGGTGATTACAGGTTGTCTTAATTTTTTTTATCTTCACTTGAGAACATTTTTCTTCAGATAGAAAGGAGGGAGAGAGGGAGGAAGAGAGAGAAACATCGATGTGAGAGAGACACATCGAGTGGCCGCCACCCACTGACCCCAGCTGGAGCTGGGGTACGTGCCCTTAGCAGGAACCGAACCTGGGACTCTCTGGTCCGTGCGCCGACACTCCAACTGCTGAGCCAGATCGGGCAGGGCGGATGCCTTAAATTTTTAATTTGGAAGAGTTTTAAATTATAACTTATTCTCTACTTAAGTTATAAAATATTAATAAAGTGGATGAATTTGGGATAAATAATATAGATTACAAAACATCAAGTATATAATACTATTAAATCAATAATCACAAAAGAAAAAGTTCTTGAACAATAACTTCAAAAAAAGGCTCAGGGCATAAATAATTTAAATAAGAAAACGGCAAACTTTTGCCCCGGCCAGCGTGGCTCAGTGGTTATAGCGTTGGCCTGTGCACTGAAGGATCCTGGGTAAGGGCCGTACACGGGTTGGAGGTCTGATTCCATCCTGTTGGGGTACATGCAAGAGGCAACCATTCAGTGTATCTCTCTCACATCAATGTCCCCCACCCGCACTCTCTAAAAATCAATGGGAAAATATATCCTCAGGTGAGGATTAACAAAAAATTAAACAAAACAAAAAAACCCCCAACAACACCGCCCTCTGCCCCCTTATCTGAAGATAAATAGAAAAATATCCTTGGGTGAGAATTTAAAAACAAAAACCCCAACAACAAAAACTTTTATTTTAAAATAATTAGACCAAAACATCAAAAACCCTGAAAAAACAGTAGAGTGGTCTTACATGCCCATCATCCCGGTTTCCCTCCAAAGCTGACATTTTAGTTAACCACTGTATATTATCTAAACTGGGAAAATTGACATTGGCACAAAATAATTAACTACATTACAGATCTCATTCAGATTTCAAGTTTTTGCATGTACTCATTTTTGGCAGTCTGTAAGTACAGTTCCATGACATTTTGCCAAACACAGATCTGCACAACTACCATAAAAAAGTAAGATATAAAACTATTCTCTTACCTCAATGAAACTCCCCTGTGCTCTTTTATAGCCAACCCTTGCCATTCTTTCCACTGAGCCACACCAACCGGGCTACCCAAGGACATTTTAAAAAATAGATTTTTAGAGAGAGAGGGAGACATATAGCAGGGGGAGAGAAAGAAACACGGGCCAGTTGCCTCCCGTACGTGTCCCTAATGGGGATCAAACCCGCTGAGTCCTGACTGGGAATCAAACCCACAACCCTTTAGGTGAACATAATGACATTCCAATCAAATGAGCCACCTGGCTAGGGCAACCATTCATTTTCTTTTTAATTTTTTTTTTCTTTATTGAGAAGGGAGAGGGAGAGATAGAAACATGGATGAGGCAGAACATCTAAGCCACACCAGCTAGGCATTTTTTAAATAGCAATTATTTACCACACATTCCAAATGTTCCCTCTATTGAGAAGCATAAAATATGGCTTTCAGATCCAAGTTACTTACCTATTTGTCTTTTACTATCATTTCTGAGTTGCTCATTTTCTGGTCTTGAAACTTTGTGTATTTCAGCTATAAAAAACATATAAAGTAACAAAATAACTCAGGACACATAATCAAAAACTTCTGTAAAGTAAGAAATGAGAAAAAAAATCCCAACCCTCCAAAATCTATACCCCCACCACCATCACTACATTGAGCCAAATTTGAAATAATGAACAATCTATCAAGTTCAGTTTAAACCTTCTAGGATCATTCATATAAAATATATCTTTTTAATGAAAATAAGGTGAATGGAAGATGTCGATGAGTCAATTAGGAATTAATAAATAGCTAAAGTTCTACCTCGCCTGTGCTCTTGATTCTCTATTGCTTTTTGGCTGGTAGATGGTAAAGGCCTGGTTGATATTGGGCTCCTTCTCCCAACAGGTGCCGGAACAGGTAAGTGGGCCGAGGTGGTCTGTACTGCTTGTTCCATGGTAGGGCTTTTTCTCAAAGGATCTAACTGAGGGCTTGAACGACCTAAAACGTAACCAAAAGATAAGAAACTACCCTATCCTTTGGGGATTTCAAAATAACCTGGACCCTAAAAAAATGTCTAGTTTTATTCCTACCAATTCAAATCCTTAGTACACATTTGAATTTGTTTAGTTACTAGACCAGAGTTTAAAACTGATTATCTTTAGTGGGTTGGTCACTAGATTCGTAAAAAAAAAATCCACGCACACACAAAACACACTCCCCCCAAAAAACCCGAACAAAAAACTCTGGAATTTTATCTGTATTTCTACCTCCCATTGAAGTAAGGTTTAAGCATTTTTTTTAAATATGTTTTTATTGATTTTTTTGTTGTTGTTAGAGAGAGAGCAAGGGAGAAATAGAAACACTGATTGGCTGCCTCCTACACACCCCCTACTGGGGATCGAGTCCAAAACCCGGGCACGTGCCCTGACTGGGAATAGAACCAGAACCTTTCTGTTGGTAGGACGATGTTCAATCCACTGAGCCAAACTTGCTAGGCTAAGTAAGTTTTTAAAAAATGTCTGCCTAGTACAAGATTCCCAGGAATACTATCAAAGATCATGTTGTAGGTCAGATGCAGGTTTCCCCCAACAACCATAACCACAAGATTCTATCGATATTTTAGCCATTATTTCCAGAGGCTTTAATATTTTTAGTACTTTCTAAGGATATGTCTAAAGTGATACCTTTATATCTATAGATGTTATCTCCAATAAATTACTATTATAAACAAGCTAAAGAACTAGAAAGTTAGGTGAAATTCTTCAATACTTAGGAGCTTGGGTGATTAAACATCAATACTAAAAAGGCCAGCAACAAATAAACCCTTCAGATAATTACACAGTAGTGATACTCATTCCTTGCCATTTAAAAGATCTTGTCAAGTTTTTGCTTCGTATAGTTTTTGTACTTACAAATTCCATTTTTCCTTTTTTTTTTTTAATCCTCATCTGAGGACATTTTTCCATTTTTTGTTCAGATAAAATGGGAGGGAGGAAGGGAGAGGGAGAGGGAGAGGGAGGGGGAGAGGGAGAGGGAGAGAGAGAGAGAAACATCGACGTGAAAGGGACACTTCAAGTGGCTGCCTCCCACACAACCCAACCAGGGCCGGGGACAAACTGCAACCGAGGTACATGCCCTTAGTGGGAACCGAACCCGCGTAACTCTGGACCGCAGGCTGATGCTCTAACTGCTGAGCCAAACCGGCCAGGGCCCATTTTTCCTTTTATGAGGTCAGAGCCTGGTCGCAATATGAACAGAAGAATGCAACATCGGGTGCTCTCATCATACTTTTTGTCCCTATAATGTTTGCGATAAATCTCTGTTAAAGGTGTTCATATCCCTTGACATTGCACCAAAATGTTTTGCTTAAAAAAATTATGCTCATTTTATATGTATCTATATCTATATATGTATATCTATATAGAATCCCAAATATGCTGCAAATGTCAACAACTGGTGAACTGGTGAGTGTTGACAAAGCATTGGTTGTTGTGTACTAGATGCTTCAGGGACCATTTATTAGTAATGCTCCCCATGTTTATAGTTATCTAAAGTATGCAAGTGTACATCATCATTCCTAGCCACTAATGCCAAAGTTACCCTGCCATTAATGGAAACAATGTATATAATGGGAAATTATGGTGGTTTATATAAGCTTTGGCCTATGAGAAGACATTTTGTACTCACTTATGACCTTATAAAGAAATTTAATTTATAAAACAAGCACTAATTTTTTTTCTTTATTGCTTTTTAGAGAGAGAGAGGAATGGGGGGGGGGGCATCAATGAGAGAGAACATCAATTGGCTACCTTCTGCATGCCCCCACTGGGGATTGGGCCCACAACCTGGGCATGTGCCCTGACTAGGAATCGAACCGGCGACCTCCTGGTGCATGGGTCGACGCTCAACCACTGAGCCACACTGGCAGGGCCAAAGGCTAATTTTTTGACAATCCTATTGTTTAGTTAATTTTACAATAATACTAGATTAAATGGTCTTCTAAGTTTATAAAATTTACCTCATCAGGTTTTTCTTCAAGAAAAGAACCACGCCCTGGCCAGTTTGGCTCAGCGGTTAGAGCGTCGGCCTGCGGTCCGGAGAGACCCGGGTTCGATTCCCGCTAAGGGCACGTACCTCGGTTGCAGTTTGTCCCCGGCCCTGGTTGGTCGTGCGGGTGGCAGCCACTCGATGTGTCCCTTCACGTCGATGTTTCTCTCTCTCTCTCCCTTCCTCTCTCTCCCTCCCACTCTATCTGTACAAAAAATGGAAAAGTGTCCTCGGGTGAGGATTAAAAAAAAAAAGAAAAGAACCAACTGACAAGTATTATAGTGATAAGGCAATCACGGCAAAAACTCATTTGTTCTGTACTTTAAAAACCTTTGTAGTTAAAGTCTGTTAGTCATGATGGCAATTTTGTTATAAAAAGGGAAATATAGCCCTGGCCGATTTGGCTCAGCAGTTAAGTGTGTCAGCCTGCGGTCCAGAGAGACCTGGGTTCGGTTCCCATAAAGGCATGTACCTTGTTTGCAGTTTGTCCCCAGCCCTGGTTGGGTCGTGTGGGAGGCAGCCACTTGATGGTGTCCCTCTCACTTTGATGTTTCTCTCTCTCTTCCTCTCTCTCCCTCCCACTCTATCTGAACAAAAAATGGAAAAATGTCCTCGGGTGAGGATAAAAAAAAAGGGGGGGATAATTCAGGTGATACTCTCTCTCTCCCACTCTATCTGCAAAAAAAAAAAAAAAAATTAAATTCTAGGTGTTTTAATTTTGTAAAATTCAGAAATTACAGTTGGTAAAATTACTCTGTCATTTTTTATACAAATATAGCTTTTTCTTCTAATAAATATGTACTTAAAATTTTTTATTTAAAATTTAGTTTAGTCCTACGTATGAGGAAAAGAATCTAGTTATTTTTCCCAAGTGATCAGGCAGTTGTCCGTCCCAAAATTTATCGAACAGCTGGCCTTCTTCTAATTTAGAAATATTTCTATGATATACTCATTACTTAAAAAAAAGGTTTATTTTTACTTAAAAAATTTTTTAAATTAATTTTTAGATAGAATAGAGACAGAAACATTGATGAGAAACACATCAATTGGCTGCCTCCTGCAGGGCCCCTACTAGGGATCGAGCCCAAAACGGGGCATGTGGCTTGACTGGGAATCAAACCAGGTGACCTCCTGTTGCATGGGTTGATGCTCAATCCACTGAACCACACTGGCCAAACCTAATTACTTATTTATACATGGATTTGTTCCTGACTTTTGTCCCATTCATCTCTTAATTTATTCCTGCACTGTTTTATTTTATAAATACACTATTATGAAGTAAGCCTTATCTCGTTACTATTTATTTATTTATTTATTTATCCTCACCCGAGGACATTTTTTGCATTTATCTTCAGATAGAGCGGGAGGGAGAGAGGGAGGAAGAGAGAGAAGCATTGACATGAGAGAGATACATCGAGTGGCCACCACCCACTGACCCTGACCAGTGCCGGGGACAAACTGCAACCAAGGTTCATGTCCTTAACGGGAACCAAACCCAGGTCTCTCTGGTCCACCGGCTGATGTTCTAACCGCTGAGCAAAACCGGCCAGGGCTCATTACTTTTTATTAAAAAAAATAGGTGTAGTTATACTTCCACATTTATTTTTAATATTTTTTATTGATTTTTTTTTAGAGAGAGAGGAAGGAAAAGGGAGGGAGGGAGAAAGGAGAGAGGGGGAGGAGAGAGAGAGAAATATCAATCAGCTGTCCCCTGAATGCACTTCAACTTAGGGACTAAATCCGAAAGCTGGCATGTGCCCTGGCCAAGAAGCAAACTGGCGACCTTTTTGTACATGGAACAGTGCTCCAACCAACTAAGCCACACAGGCCAGGGCATACTTTCACATTTATTTTTAAGACAGTATGTGTATCTGTTTTATTAAGTTCTTATAGCATTCCACTTAGAGTTTTTGAAAGTACAATAAATTTAATATGACCAGTAAAGCCATCCCAATACTTACTTTATCTCTGTCTAGGAATAAAATGATTCTCCAATTATATTATTTTTTGAGTCCCTCTATTACATTTTGTAGTTTCATCACAGAGGTTGGTCTTATTTCTTATTATGTATTTTATACACAATTTCAATTTCTCATTATTGAACATCATCTTTTATCCCCATTACATAATTAGTAGGTTAGGTTTTAGAACGATTGATTTTTATGCATTTACTTTACATTTTCCCTCTAATTTAAGTCCCTTATTAGTTCCAGGTTTTTCAGTGAATTCTTAATTCCAAGTAGACAGTCATAGAACTGACAAACAGTGCTAATTCTAATAGTGCTAACACTTAAAGTAATCTACAAAAAAAGTCTGGAAGTATGCACAACAAAATATAAATGCATGTTATTTCTGGGTAGTGAGATTGTGGGTATTTTAATTTTCTTCCTTATATTTACTGTATTTCTAATTCATCTACAACAAAATTTTAGAACGTTTAAAAGTTAATTTATTTTAAATCAATGTGAATAATGGTAACTACAACAATTTCAAAATATGTGAAGTGAGAACGATAGGATTATGTTTGGCATTAGCTCAATAGCTTTTAAAAATATTGTCCTGTGATTATAGCACCTTTCTGAAATGATTTCACAGTTTTATTTAAAAGGAAACATTCATATAAAGCAATGAGCCAGTAACATCCACCTTGGCAGCAGATACAAAGAGATACGGAATCTTGGGACCACTGAAGACTCGGCTGGGGAAAAATATAATTAAAAAAAAAAAAAAACAAAAGAAAAAGAAATAGGATAGTTTAAGAAGCTTATCAAAATGCTGACGCCACAAGCTCCAAGGATTGGGATGAAGTTCTTAGGATCTACATTTTTAAGCACTCTAGATGCTTTGGTTTGGGTGATTCACACTGAGAACCATTGCTCTAGATCAGTGATTTTCAATCTTTTTCATCTCATGGCACACACAAACTAATTACCAAAATTCTGTGGCACACCAAAAAATGTTTTTGCTGATCCAACAACAACAACAACAAAAAAGGTACTGCATAATTTTAATTCATTCACACTGGATGGCTATTACCATTTTTAAAAAAGATTATAGCATACTTCTTTTGAGTTAGATCTTCAATTTATTTATTGATTGATTGATTTTTAGAGAGTGAGTGAGGAAGGGAGAGGGAGAGAGACAGAGACATTGATGAGATAGAACATCGACTGACTGCTTCCTGCATGCCCCCCACTGGGGATCAGGCCCACAACCTGGGCATGTGCCCTGACTGGGAATCGAACTGGCAATCTCTTGGTGCATGGGTTGATGCTCAACCACTGAGCCACACCAGCTGGGCTTCTTTTTATTTGACAATCTAAGGGAAAAGAGGTCAGTGTCCCTGAATAGTCAAGAATTGCATGTTTTAAAAATTATTGCAGCATACCTGTTGAAAATCATTACTCTAGATTGTGTGAACATGTTAGGATATATGTGAGCGCATAATGGAATACTTTTTTTTTTCAGCTGTTATTTCAAATTCATCAAGGAGAGTTCATTTTCAGTGGTGACTCTGGGATTAATTTGATATACTTAAGTATTATACTATTTAATATTATACTTGCTTTGCAAAAAAAAAATGTCCAACTTACAGAAAGTTCACTTCTTCACTTTTATGATCTAAGACTTATAAAAAGTCTAAATAATGGAAGTCATTCAATAATATACTTATTGTAACAGCAATTAGAAGAAAAAAATTTTAAAGAACCAAATAAAAATCATACAGGTCATTTACAAGCTGCAAAAGTTCTTACATTCCGAGAAAGACAAAACCAGTATAGAAGTTAAAAATGGAAACATTTAAAAGAAAAAACAGCTTACCTTGAGATAACTGTGTTTTTACAGTTCTTGTATCCTGTGTAAAGGCAGATCCAACTGCACTACTTTGGGATAGGGTACCACTGTTTGACGTTTCTGTCCCAAAGGATGTCAAGGAGCTTCCAGCTTTAAGAGATTTTTTTTAATGACAAAAAAAAAAAAACTTTTAAAAATTTTACACCTTTCAATTACATAAATATACAATTTTAATGATAATTTTCATCACTCTCCTGTATAACTTACATAAATTAATAACCCTGGAAATTAATGAAAGTGTATCAAAAATTAGTTTTGAGCAATCTGACAATAGGTATAGGATAAAAAAGCAAGCCAATATATAATCCAGCATCCTAGATGCAAAATTTTTTCTAACATTTACAATACTGTCCTAAGCAGTTATGCAGATGGGACAGCAGGGACCCATATTAAATAGAAAAGTAGCAGAAATGCTACATTCTACACCATCAGTAAGGTTCGATTATTTTCATATCAAGTATCTGCACAAATAGCCAAATCAGCAGACAGGTCTATGAAGTACTTTCCTAGCACTTCCAAGGCAACAGACAATGGACACCAGTCCATTTCAATGTTTGTAACTCAGGATGGCACTGTGGGGCTGCATTCTGCCTAAAGCAACCACAAAAGTTTTGTAATGTAAGTAAAAATCCCTAGAAAGGGCCCAATTCTTTGCAATGCTATGTTATGTGAATCTTCTTTCTTCCTTAAGTTTCTACAGTACTTATGGATCACTCACTTTTCATATGCTGTGCTCTCTTTATTTACTATTTAATCTATGTAGGTTTTCCATAGTTCTTCTCCCACCCCTAAATCCAATCTAAAGATGGTAATCAGAATAATCTTTTATGAAATACAAATATAATCACATTTCTACAATGCTGATAGATAAAAGTTCCACTGTCCTAAAGATAAAAGTTCAAACTATTAATATACCTCGGTTTATATGGTTCTCTCCTTATCTACATACCCCTTCTCTCACCACTTTTCACTAGTCTACTCCACAGAAGTGTGTCCCTCTACTCTTAAAATACTTGAAGACTATGATCATGCCCGTCACAATATTCTCATTTCTAAGTTAAGCAACTCCAGTTCCTTCAACCATTCTTCACCATCACATGATATTTATCCCCCACCCTTTGTCTCCTAATTTAATGAATTCCAGCTGTTCATATCCATTCTAAAATGCGGCATCAGAGCTTAGCACAGCATGTCAGATGAGAACTAATGGGATTCTTAGAGGTGTGATCCAGTCAGGCTACAGCCCCGGCTAGCTCACAAGAGGCCTAACATAACCTTCCTATAACATCTCCAGAAATGTTGGGACAGTGCTCTCAATAATTCTGTGGGAAGCTGAATCCATCCCATTATTCTTAGTGCTTCTGGGCAATGATCAAGACATAAGCCACTCTGATGATATATATTCTTATCTCCATGCTGTTCTCTGTTTCCTCACCTGACTCAACCCCCACTGCTTACTCTATGGTTAGCATACTCTTCTATATCCAACATCTCTAAGTTCCTGGTCTACCACACCCCTGTCCCTTCCCCCAATTCTGCTATTAATTTATCTCAAATTACTTTTTATGTATAGTGTGAGGCAAGAGTCAGGGTAGTTTTTTCTCAAATAGGTATCTAGCTGCTGCAACAACATTTGTGAAAGATATCCCCCTCTCCAGGGCCTGGACAGCTAGCTCAGTTAGAGCACTGTCCCAATACACCAAGGTTGTGGGTTCACAATCTGTCAGGACATATACAAGCAGCAACCAATCAATGCATAAATAAGTAGAACAAATCGCCCTGGCCAGTTTTGCTCCGTGGTTAGAGTGTCGGCTGCAGACCAGAGAGGCTCGGGTTTAGTTCCAGCTAAGGGCACATACCTCGGTTGTAGTTTGTCCCCGGCCCTGGTTGGGGTCATGTGGGTGGCAATCACTCGACGTATTGATCTCTATTGCATCAACGTTTCTCTATCTATTCCCTCCCAATGTCCTCGGGTAAAGATAAAAAACAAACCAAAAAAATAAGTAGAACAAATTGATGTCTGTCTCTCTTGCAAATCAATTAAAAAAAAAAAAAAAAGATATCCCCCTTTCCATTGTATTGCACTAGCATCTTATTTAATATCACTGATTTTTAGAGGAAGAGGGAAAGAGAAACACAGAGTGGAACATAGATGGGCTGCCTCCCGCATGCCCCCTACTGGGGGATCCAGTAGGCAAACCCAGCACAAGTCCTGACCAGGAACTGAACTGGCAACCTTCTGGTGCACTGGACGACTCCCAATCAACTGAGCCACACTGGCCAGGGCCTGGCATCTTTATTTTATTTTTTTATCCTCACCTGAGGACATTTTTGCATTTATCTTCAGATAGAGTGGGAGGGAGAGAGGGGGGAAGAGAGAGAGAGAGAAAGATCAATGCAAGAGACACATCGACTGGCTGCCAACCACACGACCCCAACTGGGGCTGGGGACAAACTGCAACCAGGTATGTGCCCTTAGTGGGAACCGAACCCAGGACTCTCTGGTCCGCGGTCTGACACTCTAACCGCTGGGCTCAATTGGCCAGGGCCTGGCATCTTTATTTTAAATCAGTATTTAGGTGGGTCTATTTCTGTACTTTATTCTTTTTAAAAAAATATGTTTTTATTGATTTTTTAGAGAGAGGAAGGGAGAAAGGTAGAAACATACATGTTAGAGAGATACATCGATGGGCTGCCTCCTGCATGCCCCCTACTGGGGATCGAGACTAAAACCTGGGCATGTACCCTGACCAGGAATTGAACTGGGACCTCAGTCCATGGGACAATGTACTGAGTCACACTGATCGGGCTGTACTCTTTATTCTTTACTCCTAATGTATCTGTGTCAATAATTCACTGTTCTGATTACTACAACTTTATAGTAAGTCTTGAAATTGAGTAAAAATCTCCAACTTTCTTCAAGATTGTTTTGGTTATTCTAGGCTTTGTATTTCCATATAAATATTAAAATCTGCATATCGATGGCTATTTTAAAAATGTCCGATGGGATTTTGATCAGGGTTATGCTCAATCTGTAAATCAATTTTGGGGAAAATATCTTGAAAATAGTGAATTTTCCAACCCATAAGGATGGATTAACTTCACTGATTTAGATCTTTCATTTCTCTCAGCAGTGCTTTGTGATTTTCACTGTACAGCACTGCTAACTTAAGCACTATTGACATTTTGGGCCAGATAATTCTGTTGTGAGGGGTTGTCCTATGCATTGTAGGATATTAAGTATTATCCCTGGATTCTACCCACTAGATACTAATAGTAGCCTCCAAATGTCCCCTGGGGAAGGAAGGTGAAATTCATTCCCCTCAACTGAGAAACACCGTTGTAGAGGTTTAAAATGTCTTTTGTTATATTCATTCCTGGTGTCCGATATTACTGAAGCTATTGTAAGCTGTGTTGCATATTACATTTAATTTCCCAATAACCTATTCTAGATCAGGTGCCATTAAACTTTATCTGTAAGCAGCTAGATAGTTAATATGATTATTTTAGGCTTTTCAGGCCATATGATGTTATAAATACTCAACTAACTCTGCCCTTGTAGTGTAAAAGCAGACATAAACTACAGGTAATAAACAAGAGTGGCTATGTTTCAACAAAACGTTATTTACAAAAACAGGAGGCTGGCTGGATTTGATCCACAGGCCATGCAGATGTTCCCCTTTGCCCCTCTCTTCCTTCCTTGGCCTTCAATACTCTATTGTCCATGTCCATGGGGCTACAGTTGATTTTTGCAATTTACCACTTATTTTCTTACCATACTAAATTCACTTATTAATTTTAGTGGTTTGTATATTCCTTTGCATTTTCTATGTACACAATCATGTCAACTTCAAATAAAGACATTTTTTAGTTCTTCCTTTTCATTCTTTAAATCTTTTATTCTTCTTGCCTTATTTAATTGATGAGGACCTCTATAACATTAAATAAAACGTTGAAACAATTTTGCCTTTGCTTTTTATTCCTTACCTCAAGGGGAATGCATTCATTATTTCACCATTATTTAAGCTTTTCATTTCACTGATCAAATTTAGGATATTCCCTTCCATTCCTTAGTTGATAAACGGGTGTTAAAATCTTATCAAATGTCTGTTCTATCCATTAGGATTGCAGTTTTTCTCCTTTATTCTGTTAATGTACTGATGATTTTCAAATGTAAGCATCATTGCATTCCTGAGATAAACTTGACTTTGTCATTATGTACTATTCTTTTTACAGACTGCTGGTTTTCGTTGCTAATATTGTGTTAAGAACTTTTACATGTGTCTGTGGGAGATAGTGAGCTATAATTTTCTTTTCTTGTAATGACATCATCAGATCGCCTCAGTTACTTGGTTAGGAAGTATTCCTCTTCATCTGTTCTCTCAGAGAGTTTGTGTAAGACTGATAAAATGATTTCTTCCTTACGTGGTAGAATTTATCAAATAGTTTAGAATTTTCTTTGTGAAAGAATTTTAATTTCAACTTCAACAGCTAACTGGGATATTGAGATTTTATTTCCTGTTGTGTTAGATTAGGAAAGTTGTATTTTTCAAAGAATTTGTCTATTTCACCTAGGATGTCAAATTTATTGACATTATCACAATATTTTCATATTCTTTTAGGATCTATAGTAATGTCCACATTTCCTTTTTTTTTTAATCCTCATCCAAGGATATATTTACTGACTTTTTTAGAGAGAAGGGAAAGAGTGGGTGGGAGGAAGGAAGAGAGAGAGGGAAGCATCATTTTCAGAAACATCAATCAGCCACCTCCCGAATGCGCCCCGGCTGGGGATTGAACCCGCAACTCTTTGTTATACAGAACGACATGCCAAACCAACTAATATTGGTGATTTGGATCTTCCTTTTTAGCTTGATCAGTCTCCCCCCCCCCCCCCGATCAGTCTTGATTAGGGCTTATCAATTTAATAAAAATTTTCAAAGAACCAATAACTTTGTTGAAGTTTATGTATTTTGGCTTGTTTCTGTTTTGTTTTCTGCTTTAAAATTTTTTCTTCCTTCTGTTACCTTTGGGCTAAATTTTCTTTTTTAAGTTGGCAGTTTAGAACACTGATTTTAAAACATTCTTGT